TTGCCTGCGCCCCCCCCCCCCCCGCTCACTGTTCCAGCCACTGTCTGGCTTCCACTATTCCTGCTTTTGCAGCTCAGTGCGTGTGTGGGGGGAGAGCAGTTCCCACTCCTTCTTCCCTGCCTGCACACCTGCTCATCAGGTGTACAGCCATGCTTCAGCCTCCCCCAGCTCTTCCTCCGTTTCTCTCACATTCAGCATACAGCCTCCACCTGCCTAGCTAAAGTGGTGGCAACAACTACTACCCCCAACTCCTCCTCCAACTGCTGCCTCCACTAGATGGAGGCCATCTGATAAAGTTGTGTTATGTGTGCAAGCGTAGATAATGTGTTTTTGGTGGATTTAACCCCCCCCCCCAAAAAAAATTCTGTTTGAAGTTCTTGGATTTTTCTGCAAACCTGGGAGGGGGGGCCATCAAGTTTGTTGAGAAATCATCTTTTTGTATGAATGGGCCCTATCCACAAATTTAAGTATCCACAGATGGCTCCCCCTTCCACTATTAGATATATAGATGATTAGGGATTAAGAGATGCACCCCTAGACTTCTCTGAGGTGTCCTATGAGGGGATGGTGTATTTCAGTGCTACTGATAGAGCAGAACACACTAGACTTCAGTATGCCGCCTCCTCCTCCTCCTCCTGCCCCTTCCCTTCTTCCAATTACTGCTCCACAGTTGTGACTGCACAATCTGATTTGCCATGTTGACCCTTCTTCCACTGCCAGCTGCTCCAGCCTTCCCACCAGTGCTGCCCAGCACCAGCTCTTTTTAATTACATTGTGCTGTGCCCAGTGCTGCCCCCCCCTTTTTGAAAAAATGAAAGCTGGGTAAACTATTGTTGCAACACTATAGTGATATAGTGATATTTCAGGTCCATTAAAAAAATAAATAAATATGGAGAGTGCTCTGATGCCACTGGTAATGACACTGATGACAACACCTTGTGTTGAAAATCCTCATTATTTAAAACATAACCAGAGGGAAATAAACTGGCTCCACAACTGTAAAAATGCACATGGAAGGCAGATGTGTGGAAGAACCCTGTTCAAACTGATTCCAGTGCTGTTGTGGATCAACTTCTATGAAAATGAGGAATAACGAGAGTGTGAAAAATGTTCAGATTTAACCCCTTTCTTCACTCCTTCTGAGGCTTTGTGCAACCTAAAGGGGATCTCACCAGGATATGAAAGATACTGCTTTCTATACAGGGAGTGAATGATGATTTTTATTTTAATTGAAGAAGGTATGGCTAATATCCTTGTATCATATTTTAAAACAGCTGTTAAGGAATATAACAGTGTTTCTAAGTAACAATATTGATGCATTAAAACTCATCTAGCCTCAGCGGGGAGGGCAGGGTATAAATTAATTAATTAAATAAATAAATTATTTAAATAGCTTTACCTTTTATCTTGTAGGTTGCTCTGAGTGCCACAGATATGGCCTTGGCCCTCAATCGGTACCTCTGTACTGCTGTTTTGCCTTTGCTGACTAGATGCGCTCCTCTTTTTGCTGGCACCGAACACCACGCTTCCCTTATAGATTCCTTGTTACATACTGTATACCGACTCTCCAAGGGCTGCTCTCTCACCAAAGCTCAGCGGGACTCTATTGAAGAGTGCCTACTCTCCATTTGTGGGTAAGAATGTAACCCTGACTTTGATAGTAAAATGGGTTGCTGGAGCAAAAATGTCCAGTAGTAATTCAGTGATATAAAAAATTGGGATTGATGAAGATAGTAATAAACAGTATCTTTCACTTCCCTGCTGTCATGTGTAAACATAGTAGAAAATTAAACCAATTTGCAAATCATTCTTTTAAAAAGAATTTGGCATGTAAATAAAGTATGATAACCCAGATAGGTCCCTTTGGGAATAGGCCCCTTGGAAATCAGTGGGACTTATTTCTGAGCAAACAAGCATAGGATTGGGCTGCATGAATATATTTTCAAGTTTTTCTTAAAAGTTATATCCTGACAGACAACCACAAAATCAACAATGTAGCCATCAATAGACAGAATAAATCCCTTTATATACTGAACTCTGTGTTTGTGTATATCATGCACACACGTAAAAACACAGTATATATATATAAAAATATAGATCTTCTGGGTTGTGTGGCTGTGGTCTTGGCATTGTAGAACCTGACATTTCCGCAGTAGCTGTGACTGGCATCCTCAGAGGTATAACACAGAAAGATGGAGTACTCTCTGTGTCGTGTCAAGGTGACACAGTATATATATATACTTGTATATACTCATCCTTCAAGCATGAAATATACTTCAGAAATTTTAACTGCAGCCGTGAGTGCTAGAAATTTGATTTATTTTGAGAGGCAAAAATTGGATGGTTTTCAGATTTGTCAAGAGTTTCCTGTGTGAAAGTATAAAGGTTACATTCTGACAAATTAAGTACAGAGACAGCAGTTGTTACATACCCAGTTCTACTATTATTTAGGCAGTTTTTGGAATATCGACATGTCAGTTGCATATCTATATACTAATAGCGAAGGCGCCCCCTGCGTGCGGATATCTAAATCCGCACATTGGGGGCACCTGGGGGGCAGGGAGATTTTCCTGCACACTCGGGGCAGTCCCCAGGTGTGCACAAAAATCTAAAAAGGTGAAAAAAATATCGGGGGATATTTAAATCCCCAAAAAAGTAAAAGAGCCTTCCCTGCGGACGGGAGGGCGGGAGAAGGCTTGCCGGGCTGGCCTCACCGCCACTGCTGCTGCGGAGGGAGGAAGGGGGAAGCTTGGCGGGCCATCCGGCCTTGCCGCCGCTGCTGTGGAGAGAGGAAGGGGGAGGCTTGGTGGCCCGGCCGGCCTCGCCGCTGCTGCTGGGGAGGGAGAGTGAAGCTTGGTGGGCGGGCCGGCCTTGCCGCCGCTGCGCTGCTGCTGCTTGGGAGGGAGAGAGGAAGGGGGAAGCTCGGTGGGCCGGCCGGCCTTGCCACCACCGCTGGGGAGGGAGGGTGACGCTTGGTGGGTTGGAATATCCCCCCCCGCGAGTATCGCTTCGGAGCCAGGGGGAAGATTGGCGAGGCCCGGGGGCTGCACTCTGGCCTCGCCCCCTGAGCCGGGGGTGGTGGTGGTGGAGGAGACGTGTGGGGGGGAATCGGCAGGATGGGGGGGAAGCTTACCTGCTGCTGCTGCTTCCTCCTCCACCTTCTCTGCGTGGAGCTCCCCCGTCCCCCCCCCGCGAGTTTCGCGCGTCTCCTTTCTTGTATCTACTATTTCCAAAGATTCCCATTTTTATAATCCTGGGTTATATGCTGGATAACAAGCAGTTTTAATTTTTTACAATTGCATTTGTTTGTTTACAATTGTTTACAAATGCCTGCATTTGTTTGACTAGAATAATGGCCATTGATGGTTTCACATAGACCTGCTTCTAATCTTGCACATAACAATATATTCTTTCTACTTGTAGTCAACTTCGGCCTTCAATGATGCAACATTTGTTGAGAAGATTAGTATTTGATATTCCACTATTAAATGAACATGCAAAGATGCCTCTCAAGGTAAATTTAGTCTTCCTCTTCAGAATATGCAATTTATATAACTTGTTCTCATTCTCTAGAGGAGAACCGTGGCTGTAATATTACTGTAACCACAAGAACTGTAATATCGTGCCAAAAAGACACTGAATAATGAATATTATAATAAAATGTATGGGCTTTTTTAAAGGTAATCACAATGCACAATACTTATTTTCAATACACAATACAAGCAATGCTCCCTCTAAGCTATTGAGTCTTGTGAGCAAAAATTCTACTTTGTGAGCTACTGGCATTAAAGTTGTGAGTGAGTGATTTGGCTACTGCATAAATTAGTTTGCTCTGGAGCCATCCTTCCTGAGCTAAGACAAAAATGTGTGATCTGGAGACTAAAAAACTGTGAGCTAGCTCACACTAACTCAGCTTACAGGGAACACTGAATACAAGCAATGCTATTTTCCAGTAAGAGAATCACTCTATAATTCTTACATCACATCAAATAATCTATTTAAATATGTAACAAGGAACTACATACACAACTCAGTTTTCTTACATCACATCAAATAATCTATTTAAACATGTAACAGGGAACTACATACAAATCAAGGTATCACAACTCAGTTGTGTAGCAATCAGGATCCAAAAATCAGTCCAGGAGATCATGGTCTTTAATCTTGATGTATGCAGACCAATGAAGACGAGATGAAGACTCAGGATTATTCTATACTTCGTTTCATTTAAACTTCTTCAGATTATGGACTGCTCTTATGGCTAAGTGTAGTTACAATAGGCAGCCTTACAGCAAATAGTATATTCTTATGGTGTGCCTTTCTGCAGTTGTTACAATGACTTACAGTGCTCTCAGAGAGTCTTCATCTCATCTTCATTGGTCTACGTACATCAAGATTAAAGACTGATTTTTGGATCTTGATTTGTTTGTTTTTCTCTATCGGAAACAATGGAGGATGGGTACCTTAGGAGGGGGGCGTAAATCAGTCTTTGTAAATCCAATCCTCACCAAACTTAGAGGGCAGGTAGGGGAGAGTCAGCTGGAGATCCCCTGTGAGTTTGGTTTCTCTAGCATGCCGGGAGAGTGTTCTGCCGCACTGTGAAGCTCACAAACTGAACTGGTTTTTCTAGTGTCAAAAGGTTTGTGCCGGTCCATGGTTCACAAATTGGGCACACCATGAACCATGAACCAAACTGCATTTTTCTGGTCTGTGCCAATCCCTATGCAGGACTAGTTTTCCTTTTGTGTTCCACTGTGAAAGCTCCACCCATCTGAGCAAAGCTTTCTAAAGGTATCAATGTGCAAACAGGTAAAATCGAAAGTCCCAAGGCAGATCACTTGCATAGTCTCCATTGAAATGAATGAAACTGCACAACAACAGTATTTGAATAAGGCAGCATAACATAATTTTTGAATGTCTTGTTAACGATATTTTGCATTTTCACCCTAACACATATAGATGTTGGGCAGCCAAAAGACCTGCTTTGTTCATTCTTTCCTATGACCCTACTGCTCAAATATTTGTGATCATACTTTGAAGACCATAATCTTGAAGCAGTTAGTCCTGAGTCACACTAAATTAATGATTTAGTATATATTTAATTTAAAGCCTGATCCAAAAAATCTTTGATGGGTTTTATTAGTCAAATGATAAATGGAAATGAAATAAAGGAGACATATATTTTCATGCATTCCCATTTTATTCAGTTGCTGACAAATCATTACGAAAGATGCTGGAAATATTATTGCTTATCAGGAGGATGGGGCAACTTTGGTGCTGCTTCAGAAGAGGAACTTCATTTGTCCAGAAAGTTGTTCTGGGGTATATTTGATGCCTTGTCTCAAAAGGTAACTTTTAAGTTTATAGTACAAATCGTGACTGTGATCCAAAATACACCAAATAAAACTGAAGTATGCCATGGATTTTTTAAATTACTTTTCAGCAAAATGAATCATACTGAATTTGGAGTTCCTTTTAAAATATACTTCTTATAATCTCCCTACCAGTTAGATTGGCTGATGATGTAATAAGAATACAAAGTGACAATTCTAATACAGCCGTTTTCAGTTCTACAATAAGTATGTTATAGGTTGTGCATAGTAGTTGCAAGTAGTTGTGGCTTCTTTTATATTGTATATTTCTTGTTCCCACCCCCAAACAATATTTTTGTATGGTCCAGTTTTGAATGAGTGATTATAGCTGCCTTCAAGAGGAGAAGGACTGGGCTATAGGTCTGTATTTCTATTGCTCATTTACATTCCACTGTATTTCGTAGGTAATTATTGGATCAGATGATTAACTTACCAGCAGGAAAAAAAATAAGGGTATTGCATGGTTACTTGCTATTATTTTTATATTTATTATAAACGAAGAAGAACTTTTAGGTGTGCACCAGATTTTTTAGCAGTTGCTCTGCATATTGCTTAAAGGCTGCAGCTGTACTTACCTCAGGTTGTAGAAGGAGCTTGTTGTGCAAGGTGTTGCACACAGAAAAAAAGAACAGAAAGCTGTGCTCCATGCATAGATCTCACAACACATCTGTTTAGAGGAGGCAAAAATATATACGTGGATTAATATATATACCACTTTTCATCCTTCACTTTCACATAATTTATACATGTAAGCAATCCAAATAGGTCTGTTGAAAAGCCAGTTTTGCACTACATTTCAAAACACTGAATGCTGCAGTGCTATGAAAGATACTAAAGGACCCATGCCCAATCAAGTGTGCTTACTCAGAGGAGAATTACATCATGTTAGATGAAAGCGCAAGAGATGGTAGCCAAACTTATGCAGAGTGCTCCTTCACTCAGTCACTAATTAAACTATTGAATTCTCTGAGATTGGATGTTGTGATGGCCACTAGTATAAACTGCTTTAAAAGAAGATTGGATAGATTCATGGAGGATAGATTCATCAATGACTACCAGCAAAGATAACTAAAGGGACTCTCCACATACAGAAACAGTATCAATATCATCCTAAGCAGTATTACACCCTATTTAGTCCATTGAAGTCAGTGGGCTTAGAAGGGTGTAAACCTAATTAGGTTGGCACTGTAAATCTTTGACAACAGGTGCTAGGAGGCACCATCAAAGGAAAGCCTGTGTCCTGTTTGTCTGTTCTTCAGGGCAACTGACTGACCACTGTGTGAGACAACATGCTGTAACAGATGGTTCTCTGATCTGATTTAGCAGGGCAGTTAGATTTTCAGCAAAATGGAGGCCTAACAGTTCAGTATTAGATCTCTTGCATTCTGCTTTCTCTTTGCAGAAATATGAACAAGAACTTTTCAAACTAGCTTTGCCCTGCCTGAGTGCAGTGGCTGGTGCTTTACCTCCTGATTACATGGAATCAAATTATGTTGGCGTAATGGAAAAACAGGCTTCCATGGATTCGGATGGGAATTTTAACCCACAACCTGTTGATACTTCTAAGTAAGCATTTATTCTACTGCAGATTATTTTGTGTATATATATTATGCAAAGTTTAATTTATTGCAAAATACATGCCATCTTCCATACTTTGGTGCTTTTGAAATATTTAGCCTTCATCCTACAAAGCAACTGGTTATACTAAGCGATAACTGGAATAATCATGAAGTAGTTTATCCTTAACTATGTTTTTGAACATCTGTAGATCAGAGAAAGTTATTCAAACATCCAATTGATTAGTCACGTGGAATGGTTCTTTTGCTTTACCTTGATTCGTTAGTAGATATTCATTCCTGATTCTCCTATTATACCAGTCAACTATGAACTGTGAAATTAAGTATCTGTGTTTTTCAACTTTCTCCCTCTAGAAGTGGCAAGTGGGTAAAATACTAATAGTGCTCTCACCTTGGTATTGGTATCAGAGCTTTGACAAGTAAATGCAAGTTCAAATACTGTGACATAATGGGCTGATTATATTTTATTGATATCTCTTTTGTTTTTCCTTGCCCAGCATCACAATTCCTGAAAAACTAGAGTATTTTATTAACAAATATGCCGAACATTCCCATGATAAATGGTGTATGGAAAAGGTAAAATGCTTGTAACATAGTTTTGTCTATCCATATTTAAAATATTAAAAAATCATTTGCCTAGCATTACAAACATGTTCTTCATTTTGGTATTCATTACACTCTGTTTTTAGAATTATTTCTCTTCTTTAATCCATTGTTTTAAAACATGCTAATCTTGTCTGAGTTTTAGCAAATATTCGTTGCTGTTATTACATCTGTAGTGACCAATTTACTTAATACGTTTATTGTTAAAGAAGGAGTTTGTCATTTTTGTCACCAAAGATGTGTATGGTTGTCTTCTGCAATATCATGTTGAGACAGACGCATCTGGAAGAGTAGGCAAAACTTGCCTAGTTCAGTGTTTTGCATGAAAGAAACCCACAGCTAACAGCCAGTGGTAGAAGACACTGTGTTTCACAATACTCCCCCCCCCCCAATATGTATGTTTCATGTGCATATTCTGTTTTTTGTATGTTTTT